ATGTTCAGCAGAGTCCCAGAGCCATACTTCTATGCAGCCTGTGGTCTGAAGACAGACAACAGGAAACAGGATACGATATAAACACCATTCAATCTGAGTGCTGAGGTCACGTGATGTTTGCAGGACGCCTACAGAGTTTCATTTTGATGTTTGTCAGGTTCATTGTGAATGTACAAAGAAAATTATAGATTACAGGAATTTAACCCTAAATAAGTGGGTCATTTAACGATCATTCAGTGATTAGATCAGAAATGCAAACCTTATTATGATTGTCAGTGATATGTAAAACTAATGTATTTTTATTACAACATCTCCTGATGTGTAGTTTTGTAAGCAGACCTTCACAAAGAAATATTGTTTATGCTATATGTGTTAATGCTTTTGTTTAGGTCTGTCATTTTGGAGGAAATAAGCTTCAGTCTTTTTTGCTAGGCAGGTCCGTGCTGTATATTGTTAATGAGAGCGACAATTCAGGATTTTATTACTATCTGTTGTGCATTTTTCTTTGTTCTGATTTGGAGATTTTCATGTTTGAACCACATGCTGGACAAGAAATTAACCTTGAAATGAAAGCAAAATGATAAAAATATTTTTTTCTCAAAGAAAAAACACGATTCCCTCCCTGGGATGATGGCATGGTGCGTCTAAAAGGATCCTTAAAGATAACAAGTCTGAGGAAAAATTACTTGACTAAACTACATCATTGTGGTTTTCAGTGAATACAGAGCTGAAGAAAAGAATTAAGGATTAAAAATTAAGAACAGAAGTGTGTGTTTTGGTTAAACTAAGAGCAGAATAGATTTATTGTGGTCATGTGAATATGAATATTTCTCTTAGTATTCGTCTTTATGCCGCACCAAAAATAAAATTAATAAGACTATTCACTTGGAAACCTTTCACCATATTAACTTATCAGCTGAATGTTTTAAATATGTTATACTGATATGTATATGACCATGTTTTTCATCAATTTTTATAATGTTCTTAATATATTTACAAAAATAAAGTGTGCTGATGCATCA